CTTGAAAGTTCAATGAAATCTTGTTCAGGTATTGCTTGCTTAAATGCATGCCAACTAAAAAGTTCAAGAGATTCGTTGTCATCCAATTCTTTCACACTATATACATGAATCACTCTTAAGACGTTAAGTAAATGTTGATCTCTAGTAGTGATAATGATTCTACTACCTTGACCAAACCACTCAAGACTTCCGCACAGAGCTTTTAGTTGGTCTTCATTGTTCATATCATCAAGTACAACAATCACTTTTTTCTTACAAAGGATTTCCTTTACTAGAGTTTTTCCCATTTCTACATCAGGTAGTGTCATCCTTCTTGATTTTAAGATACTTGAAAGAAGTTGTTCTTGCAAGTAAACCGGACCATTATCTTGCTTCCAAACTTCCCTAACATTTGCAAGGAAGCACTTTCCGTCAAAACTTTGACCAACTTCATTATAGATGGCTTTAGCAATTGTTGTCTTGCCAACACCCCCCATTCCCCAAATCCCTGAAATGATAACCTCATTTGATTTACTACTTAGCAATTGGATGATATCTTGCACGCGAGACTTCAATCCCACTGGATGGTGAGCAACAAACAGGCATTTGTTGTCACCTATCTTCATTCTAACAGTTTCAGTAACATGGCCAATTAATTCGACTTCAGTTCTGGCAACAATAAGAAGTTAGATAACACTGAAGCCAAAATAAGACAGTGTTGATATGGTCTATATAATTTTAATTAGAAAATATTACAAGTCTGACATGAACCAAACTTCGTCAAAGAATTTGATTTTACCTTTACAAATTAAAGAAAATTTGGTTGCATAGAATATATTTAACAAAAAAAAAATAAGCATTTGATTATAAAAGGATAAGCCTGTGTATTGGCAGGCCCTGTGGTTGGCCACTTATCTATGTCAATTAACATACAACAACCTACGTTAAGTAAATATTGTATTACAGGATTATTCCAATTTTTCTTTCATATACTGTTGTTGACGAATTACTCAAGTATAAATGCTGATGATAATTCCACCTGATTTATGATTATTAAATCAAAATCGTTATAGAGGCATTTGTTTTCAACAAATTACCGATTTGAACAAAAAACAAAGTTATACAAAAGCTTGTGACGTAGTGGTAGCTAATTTTCCTTGGGATATTTTATGCGATGCTCTTGTGATTTTTAATTATTTGGAGATAGATAAGTAAAAGCAGTTTCATCATTGTGGTTTATAATTCCCATGTTGAAACCATATAGTTCCCCTCCCCCTTTCTATACACACGCATAATACGAGACTATTTTAGATGAAACTCATATCACCAAAAGGAACTCAAACTTGCTATGAAAAAGTAAAAAAGGAACTTAAGGAATTCGACCATTATAAATAGCAATGAGTAAAAAGATTAAAAATACCTGTAGTTATGCATGTCCCACCCAGATAAATTGGCAGCTTCTGTAAGGGCTCTTTTTACATTGGTTGTCAATTTCTTCATTTTGCCACTTGAAGTTCTCTTAATAAGTCTTTCCCATGCTTTTCCAAAAGCGTTTTGTTGTTTACGAACTTCAAAAGGTCGCACATCAAAAAATATAGGTAAAACCTCTTGATGAGTTGTTTTGTAACACTCCATGACTTTCTCTAATTCTTGTAAGCACCAACTAGAGCCAGCATAATTCTTTGAGAATATAATAATTGAAATTCTTGAACTTTCAATTGCTTCCAATAATGAAGATGAAATATTTTCTCCCTTTTCAATTCTTTCCTCATCCATGTAGACCTCAATACCTGCTTGCTTTAAAGCACTGCAAAGATGAGAAGTGAAAGATTTGCGTGTGTCGTCACCTCTAAAACTTAAGAATACGTCATAGTTATATATGAACTTCGGCTTACTATGACTGATTTCCTTTCCCATCTCTTGTAGCAAATCATGAACATAAAGCTTGTCATTCATGACCTTTACAAGATTACGCTCAATGATTACTGACATTCCCGTTTCGGCAGGAAGTCTTGAGCTTTTTAACAATTGTGTAACATGGTGTTTACTCTGACCCACATAAAAAGAAGCTATATTAAAAAATATATCTTTCTCTATATCAGTTAATAACTCACAACTAATTTTGAGCTTCTTTTGCATTGGACCACAAGAAATTCCTCCCATGTTATTCATCATTTTTTCCCACTCATTTTTCGTCCTATTATGCAAAAGAGAGCCAAAGACTTCGAGAGCCAAGGGTAGTCCTTCACAGTATCCAATGACTTGCTCTGAAAAATCCTCAAAATCATTTGTTGGAGTAAATTTCTTAAATGCATGCAAGCAAAAAAGTTTAAGAGACTCCTTTCTGTTTAACCTTTTCATTCCATATGATATGTCAGCAAAGGCATCTAAGATAGCCTTATTTCTTGCTGTAATGAATATCAAGCTCCCTTTACCACACCACTTCACATTTCCGCACAATTCCTTGAGTTGAAATTCACAATTGACATCATCAAGTACCACTAGGACTCTTCTTCCACTGAGTTCTTGCATCATTAGTTCATGCATCACAACATCATCTGTCTTATCAAGTTTAGTTTCAGAAATATCTAAAATAAGTTGATTTTTTAGGAGAATTTCACCGTTACCTTCCTTCCACACATCCTTAATATTTGAAAGGAAACTTTTACCATCAAAATTGCCACCGATTCTATCATAAATAGCTTTGGCAATCGTTGTTTTACCAATACCTCCATCTCCCCAGATTCCAACTATGATTGTATCATCCGACAAAATGTATTTCAACCCCAAAATATTAAGCAATTCTCTCACACGAAGTGGTAACCCTACTTGATAGCATGGAAGGTCATGAAATGACTCATCGTGCAACATGGAAAAACCCAAGTTTGACATGCAGCTACTGAATTCATTCCTGTCACAATTGGCAGGGTAACATTAGATTAAAAGCACATAGAGGTATGTGTTATGAAACTATGCGTGTGTGTAAAAGAAATGTTGGCCTTCTATATTTGAATTATTTTTTTGAGAAGGTTTCTCCCTCTAGTGAGAGCTGCGACTTGATCATCTCCCTAGTGAGATCTAATCATGTGTGAGGGTTAAGTGCATGAAGATATGAAGAATCATATAGAAGACCCTATGGGCTTTAATGAGTGACCAAAAGTGTTCTGCATTTAAGCTTTCTTGGTAACACAATCCAAGTTAGGGTTTGTGTCAAAGCTTTATTGAAAATACTTACAGTGCTCTGTGTAATGGGTTAGCTTGCTTAAACCCCCTGGACAAGAGAGCTTGTTGTTGCTGCTATTGTCAGGCTTTGATTGCCTATGAGATTTGAGTTAGCTAGTTGTAAGTGAGCTATGAAATTCCTATATTTTGATGTTAGCTAGAGATCTAACATTGTGCTGCAGGTTAGAACGAGAAACTTTTAGTTGTAAGGGGACTGGACAGAGAAGCGGTGGATCAAATCACGATAAATTTTTTGTCACTCTTCACTCCTTACTCTATCTATTGCTTCTTGATTTAGCAAACTGATCAAGAAATCAACTTCGCTATTTGGTAATATTTATAGAACACTATAACTAATTGACCTACACATTTAAGAAGGATATCATGACTGATAAAATCATAGATAGAGCAATGACAATATTGATAGTTAACAAGGATTAGCATTGGCAGGAATGTCTAGATACAGAGGTAGAGTAGAATGCTTTCATCTTCAAGTTTGAAAGCTATGGGGAGCACAAATAGAACACTAAAAGGAAGACCGTGGGGGTAGATTAATTTTAGGTAGCTTGCTTAACGTCCAAGAACGGGAAAAATACAAAGTATATTACTGAGAGAGAGTGCTTCCAAGCTACTTGATACTCTTTGGGTCCTTAATATAGAACCCAATTATTAAGTTAGTTTTTATCCTAAATATAAGACCCATTTCTCATGTTTATCCATTTTCTTTAAATTATCCCTGTAGATACGTCATCAACTATAATCAAGTAAAAGAGGAAGATATGGTATTAAAAAGGATGATAATGGTATTTTAGAAAAAATGTGTCACATTTTTTATAATTAACTAATTTATCTAATTTCCTTAATCTAGTTAAATGAGTTTTATATTAAAGATTAGAGAAGTATTTAATATCTCTTATAATAATATTTCTAAATACAAGAAACAAATCTTTTTGTTTAAAATTTTAAACTGTTTTTTTTTATTTTTACCCTATTAAATATATGTCAACTATTATTTCTTTACAATAAATTTTTACTCATTATTTATCAATCTTTTTATATATGGAGGTATAATTGAAAAAATATATATATACCTTATATATTTATTATTTTTGATTAAATTTAAACTATGAAAAATTAATTTGAAGGAATTTATAGTTTTCTTTGATTTTGAGCCAAGTTGCTCAATTTTTTTCTATTTTGTTGAATCCTATAACTTTTCATCATTACATCCATTAATCTTTCCTGTTAAATATAAACTAACGGTGGTAAAAATTTCCGTTGACCACTCTAAAGCTCTCCTCTCTCTTTAACCATTGCTGACCATCAACTCCACTCCATCCCCAACATTCTCCCGACACGTAAGTGGCTCACGATTCCCTCCCATCTCTCCATACCACCTTCCCTTTCCCTAATCACAAAGCCAAACTCGTGCTTCTGCAAACTTAAGTTTTCATCTTCAATGTGAGATAAGTACTTTTTTTAATAGACTACTCTGTTTGGCTCTGTTTCCAACACAAAAAACAGAGCCTCCATTAAGAACGGGTGGTGAGTGCTCTGGCTCAGAACTTCAATGACAACCCAGCAGTTCTCACTTAAGGGTGATGAGTGCATAACTGCAAGGCAGTGTGCTCTAACTACCGCTATGAGTTCGATAAGAAACAATTCTCACTCTGAACCTCGCTGCTATAAGGATTTTTAAATTAGCTTTCTCTTTAAACTACGTAATTTTAATAATTAGTATTTCTTATAAAAAAAATTGATGAAAGGGAAAAAATGGAGGAGCAAAAGGGGATAATTTATTACCCGGAATCAACGGAGAGTTTGAAGCCAGGTCGGGAAGCAACTCCCGTGAGGTCAAATCTGGGAGCCAAAGCCACCATCTCGTCATGCACTTGCCGCCGGCTTACTCCACAGAATACAGGCATCGCGTTGTCATTCCACCACATAGTCCTGGCCACCAGTCTCTTGAGACACTTCTTCGACTTGAGGAACTCCGGCGTGAACAAAACCATGACAATCATTGACCCTGATACGGCCTCCTGTACGGAAAACACTTCTTCTTCTTCGTCGTCGACGAAAGCTCTGATTCCAGCATCTCTCAATTTGTTCACGACATAGCCTTTTACACAGCCCTTGGGATCTCTCAGAGTTATGAACACGTCGTATTTGAATTTGGAGGACGCAGAAGCCAAACACGACGCCATGGCTAATTAATTCACCAGCAAATTACCGATCCCACAACGCAGTTCCCTTTTAATTATGGCAATTAAAGCGGAGTCAAATCAATGTCATCGATTGCTAGGAAAGGAGTTTCCCCGTTTCGTGTTCTGAATGGGGCCCCACGCGTTGATCCCTTTTAACTTTTTCCCTCATACCGTCCTCAATCATTTTTTATAATTATAATTTTTCAATTAAAATGTAATACATTTTTTATGTACGCATGGTGACCAAAAATAAGGATATTTAGAAAACGTGGATCACACCTTTTATAATACATGACTGACTTAATTAATTTTAAAAAAATAATTAATCAGATCTTGTATGCAGAACTCGATATGAGAAGTTCAGATATTGTGTAGAGTGAAGATGACGTTAAAAACAACTCATTTCCATTCCCTCACAGGATCAAACTACTCAAAAACAATATAAAAAAGATTCAATTCAGGCTAAAAAAAGGAGTTCGATTGGATAAGGTAAAATCTTCGTGTCGGTGGCTTTTTTTCTTTGGGCAAAGGCTTTTTTTTATTTGAAATAAAGGCAAAATGATATTAAGTAAAAAATAAAAGTTCAAAGTACAATAATAGAAGAACAACATAAACTAGAATTGAGAATGTTTTTTTAACATTTAGGATCTTTATATTGTATAAAAAAAACATTTAGGATATTTATATCATCATGTTTTGTTTAATAGTTTTAAGGTTAAAAGGCTAAAAATATATTTTTTAAAGTTAAAGAATTAAATTGGAACATTATGTAAAATTAAATAACTAAAATTATACTTTACTATTATGCAAAATAAAATAAAAAATTAATGTTAAGTTCAAAGAAAGATCTCTCAGCCTATACTAACCGTTGTGTTTTCCATACTGCTGATAAAAATATATTGTTATTTACAAATCTCAAATAAAAAATTCTTATAAAAATATGTTGTTATTTATAAATTAAGTATTGTCAAAACCTATTACAATGTGAAAATAAGAAAACCTATTACAATGTGAAAACCAAATCTGATTTGTCATTTGGTAATTTCAATTTTTTATTTTTCTAATTTAATTTGCTTTTATATGTGCTTTGAATCTGAGTCAGATGAGCACTTCCTTTTTCTTTTCTTTTTTAAGTCCCCATAACGCGTCCCGTTTATAATTGCACAAAGATGTTGGCTTTTTTGACCACCAAAGGAAAAAGAGAGTTTGATAAATTTGTCTAACAACTCTTTCAGATTTATTAAAGAGATCATCAGCGTTAATCACGGGCAATTAAGAAGATAATTTAATCACAATCTTCAGAATAATATTTTTTTAATGAACATGATGGTTTGTTGGATGTCTGCATCGCATGACAAGGATAGTAGGCATAAAGAGGAGACAAGCAATTAGTATTACTCCTCTGGTCCTATTTATAAAGCACTTCTAACATGTTTCACACAGACTAAGGAAAACCTTAAACTGTATTAACTCTCCATTAAAATATAGCAACTTTCTAACTTTACCCCTATTTAATATATACTCCTTTCAAAAAAGATAACTACTTACACTGTAATAATTGAAGGACAAAGTAGTACATTCACATTGAAAATTTAATGAAGTGACTTATAAATAGAATCAAAAAAAAACCTTCTCTCTCTGCCTTATAAATAGGACCAGAGGAGTACTTTAGTTCAAGAAATCATTAAAGTATTGTTACTATTATTTATTGGAAATGTGTGTTTGTTTGTGTGTGAACTTGGTTAGTGCATAATCCTTAATTTTCTATGATTGATTTTTTCACACGAGTAAACAAGCGGTCAAGCTAGCAATCTTGGAAACGTGGGCAAAATCATTCTTTTTTTTTTTTAATAACAATCACTTTGAGTTTAAGATTAAGCTCTATCAGTCAAGAGTGTTAAGGTTAAAACTCTCACAATAAATATGTTTCTCGAGATTTAAACTTGTGTTCTTTTTCTTATAAGAGCAAAATTACCTACCATAAACTTTGTTGTCACGTTTGGTACAATAGAATTAAAGGGGTGGCGGAAATAAAAATGGAATTAATTTCCATCCCAATATTTATTTGTTACGATGGAATTGAAAAATATTTCAATTCCAACCCCATCAAAATGGATGGAAATGATTTCCATCTTACCCCCAAAGAAATCAATTCCATGCCATCCTGACCCATTTTTGCCCCTTCCATTCTTTTCTTCCAGCCAGTTCACACCCCACCACTATCGCCGCTATGCGGAGCCTAACTGAGAGTGAGCACTCACCTGGTGGCGGTGTCAAGAACAAGACCAACGGCAAAGAGGGAGGCGGCGGCGGCTACCAACCTCCATCTTCAACTACCCAAGAATGACCTTTATCTTTTCCATTTCTTTCCCGCTGAGCTCGGTCGTTCCTTGCCTCTTCAGACTTCTTGCTCTCGCACTGTCATCACATAGTTGGTAACATCCTCAACTCCTCTGTGCTTCCTTCCTTCAAGCTTCGACAGTTCGACACTTCGGCGTGATTCACTGATAGTGTGACAATCGAGCTTTAAACCCACCTTCAGAACCATTTCAGCTGATCCACGACATCCTAGTCTCTTTGATCTGCTTCATTTCGGAATAATCTTTATGGATCCTTCATGGATTTTATGAAGGTCTTCGATCAAACTGTTTGAGAAACTAATGTGCTACCCCAGACGATGCGCAGAATGCGTTAGCTTCACATTTCTAAAGCTGAAAAAAATAAACACAAGTTAGTTATAATAGTTCACCTAACAATTAAAAAGAGCAATCCAAATAAATGAGTGGATACGTAGCAACAATAAATGTGTGTCATAAGTTAAAAAAAAAAATTCCACTTCAAACAATTCACCAAATGATAGCAACTCAAACTCCCACAATAACATTTCGAAAAACCTTCCTATAAACAACACTGTTGGTTGTTTTCGCATTTTTATTTTGACTGTCATGCAACAGAATCTTTAGAATGTCAATTGACTTAACTCTTAAAAGAGCAGCATATAGTTGCCCATGTGTGAACACAGGCTTTGGTAGGTATAAACCTACAAAGCGTAATAATTAGTCCTAACTTTTATTTATAGTCACTGTAAATGATAATGCAATTGGGAACTGCCTCCTATATCTATTCATTCGAAATGGCAAAAGACTATTAGAAGGATTTATGTCCATATGATAAATTAGAACCTTCTCATTGGCTTTGAACCATCCAATGTTAAATGAGTTATCATTAATCTTGTCCCATGCATAGTCCAGAGGTTTGATCAATATTCCTCGACGACATGACAAGTGCTCCAACTTTCAATGTCAACTTATGTCTGGGTAACCCAGAGCTGGAAATGGTACTCAAGAACTCTGTTATATGAAGGTTTGCAAAACCATCACTATCCTGCAATGATTTACAAACAAAGTCACAGTTAAAATATTCAACATAATCACTAGGAATTATAGAACACATAAATTCGTTCATGTGACTAACAACTTCAATTGTTAAAGATAGAATAGCCATGTTAATAAAATAATCACTATTAGTCAAATTCTCCAACAAATTGGGATATATAGTTGCAGGATTTGTGTAATTTTGCAACAATAATTCACGAAGCATTTCTATCTCTGTTGTGTCATCATGGGGCATGCCTAACTTACCATCATCAACATCCAAAAACCATTGTTCAAAATGTTATAACTGACTACAATCTTCATTTAATTTGTTGATGTTAAGGGCAATCGCATATTCTGTGTCAATTGAAATATGATGCTATAATCTCATAAATATAAAGAGTTAATACATGCATTAACAACATTGGCTCGTGAACCTTTAGGAATAACTGGAAGGATTTGACAAAAGTCAATAGCCATCAAAACATGCTTGCCTCTAAAAGGATAATTATAGTGCATAAGATCATCCCTCACTGACCTATCAAATGCCTCAATGCAATAACATTGAACCGTTGCTTGATGCCTAGTCTAAAAGATGAGCAAGCTGCATTTTGTAACTTGTTGTCTAGCCCTATGCATAGAATTCCTAAACATTTCGGATTGGGCAAAAGCGGGCTGAATGAGACGAGCTTCCTTGCCCAAGTAGTAACACTTTGATATATCATATGAAGAAAACAGTTTCTAATAATAACTGAAAAATATATTCCATGCTTATAATATACTACCTCCAATCCTTAATATAAGAGTCAATTGATTAATTTGGGTAAATTAAAAAAACTAGTTAAGTTAGTTATTTATAATAAATAAGTGTTGTTTTTTTTCTAAAATATCCTTGTTAATCAAATGTATTGCTAGAACTACCATTATTACAAGGACTCTCTTGAAAAAAAAATGAATATGAGAGACAAAATAGACTGAAATCTTATATTTAGGACCAAAATAAAAATCAAACAAGCTCTTATATTAAGAACCGAATGTAGTAATATTTTTTTGCTATATATTTATTGCTGACATTGTCTTGTTTCAAAGAAACAAAAAATATCAACAATATGTATCGTTTTTTTTTTGGCCAGCAACAATATCCATCATTTACCCAGCCGTTAAAATCCCAATTTTCTAATTCGATTGATACGTTAGTATATTAATTTCCGCTGCAGACTATCTTATGAGTAATTCACCGTTTTAGTCACAACTTAAAAACCGTTATTAAGACAATTTCAAGGCGTGCAGGGAACATAATTGTGTTTTTGGTCCAAAATAATGGTTAAATACAATATCATAATATATTATACATTATAATACATATTTTTTGGGCTAAGCCGAATAGGTAGGGGCGGCATATCTTGCCCATGGCCTTGTCATGGCTATGTTTAGCCCAACTCAAAAATATCCATTTTTTCAAGTCGATTTTTTTTTCTTTGGATTGGGTTGAACATTTTTTTTCTCAGCCTACTTGCCCAGCCGGGTAGCTACTTTTCACCAAGCCTTCTTCACAGGATCATTAATTTCTGAAGAAAATTCTGAAGGGGTGAGATCTAGAAGCAGCAAAAGCCTCTTATATGTCTT